CTCAGGAGCTCAGGGTGTATGGGGTGCAATGTGGGCTAAGAAGTACTTATTGCTGCAGGGTGAGGGGTATCACTGGCAGGGCTGCCTGACATCAGGGTCCAGCAATCAGGTTTCAGTCCCAGGTGTGATCCCCTGCTCTTCTGCCTTCTGTCCCTGTGACAGTCCGCAATTGATTATGTCTGTTGTCCATTGACACAGCTAGACTCCAGTTTAGTAGTAATGGGAGGAAAGCATGAGGTTACTGCCACACCAGCTGCTAATCGGAGTCCTCCACACAAACATCTCGCCCCAATCAAGCACCAGCCGGAGGCAATCCCTGCAAACGCCGCCGATCTATCCCTTCATCCAATCAGAGCGCCTCACTTGTTAACACACCCTCACTTCCAAACACACTTAAACCTTCTCCGTTTCACTGAACACTCGCATTTATAACTACTAGTTCTGGCTTTTGGATACTCGAACCTTTGACCTCAATCTCGCCTAGCATTTTGGATGTGTCTGCCTTCTCCTCCTGGATTATCTTTGGTATCGAACCCGGAACTCGTCCTTGACTACGTCTCCACTTTACATTTGGGATTTACCTTTACTCTCTCCTGACTCGCCTCCACAGCTCCACATAGGGTCCATCATTCAATCTACACTGTGCAGCATTACAGTTACATGCTTCAGTCTCCATTGTTTATCAACAATATCCGTTGTTAAGTCACTGATATTCTGAGTTTGAGATCATTAATGGAATCCGAATTTCAAGAATGATTCCACAATAATAATTGCAAAAAAGGTTTTAATAGATTTATGTTCTGAGAAAACTGAAACAATTTCAAATTTACTGTCCTGGGGTGTCAGTGGTACAGTGTGGACAAAGAAGTAATTCTAACTGCAGAGTCTGTGTTACAGACTGCTAGTGATTAAAGAAGTCAAAAAGATGACCACATCGCTGTCTAGGTGAAATCATGGCAAACTCTTGGGTGTTAAAAAATCTAAGGAATTTCCATTTTAAAGTTCATGCTTTTTAAAGCAATTTTATGATTCTTTACTTTTTTAACTTAACTGCTAATGACATTCTTTCTACCTGCCTAAATGCTCACTGTTGCATACTGTATAAGCAGGTCTTTCATTTAATATGTTTTGGATAATAATAGAGTTGAAGGACAACAGTAAGTCAACAATAGATCATACAAATTTTTGACATTTTGTTGGATTCATTGTTTTTATCAAATTTACTTTAATTTCAATACTGTCCTTTTATGTCAGTTTTTCAAAAAAGCATCCAGGTAACCAAATTAGGAGGGTATTAAGAATTCTACACTAAGGGCTTCACAGAGAAGTGGA